GTTTTTTTTTTTTTTTTTTTTTTTTTTTTGGTCTCTCCTAGTGCCTCTCCTTGTGTGAATGCAGTTGAGAGTCTGGCGTGCCATCTGCATGGCGGTTGTGACTGCTGCTATAGAGACTATCTGCTTTTGCAACAGCCATGGCAGTTGCGGTGGCTATGGTGGACTACTTGCATGGAAATGGTGTTTTTGATGTGCCCTTTACCTAGATGCGGGAGCTTACCTAGTTGTGGCTGGATTCGGCTTCCCCCTCTGGTAAGCCATTTTAAAGGCTTTAGTTCCTAGTTTGAGTGAGATAGGGAGCCATTTGGGGGCTTTGGAGCTAAAGAGAGAGACATGATCAGACTTACCTTTTAAAAAGAGCACTGGCTGCTATGTGTAGACTAAGGGGAAGGCAAGGGGGACAGCTAGGAGACTGTTGCAGTAAATAAGGCAATGGTTTCTGGTGGCTTGGGTATTTGGCAGTGCAGGGGATAAGATGTGTCCTGGAATTATTTTGAATGTAGAGTTGAAGGTATTTGCTGATAGACTGGATATAGGATGTGAGGGAAAGACAGGAATTAAGGATGACTCCAAAGGTTTTATTAAGTTGAGAGTCAGCTGGAGGAGCAGATTTGGGAGGGGAAATTGGCAGTTTGCTTTTGCTCTCACCAAGTCTGAGATACTTATGAGACATAGAGAAATGTTGAGTGGGTGGTTGGATGTATGACTGACAATCAAGAGAGAGGTATAGGCTGGAGACGCAAATTTAAGAGCCGTCAGTGTATGGATGTTATTCAAAGCCATGAGAGCGAAGGAGTTCACCTAGGAAGTAAATGGAGATAGAGAAATCAGAAGACTAAGTAAGCTCCAGGACATTCCCAGGTTACAGACATCGGGGGAATGAGGAGGAACCAGTAAGGCAGGAGCAGAACCAAGAGAGGGATCCTAGAAGTCAATTGAAAAAGCATTTCAAGAAGGGAATCTTCAGCTGCCAAATGCTGCTGAGAAGAGGAGCAGCCACTGTGTGCAGGTGCTGTGCATACACAGATGAGCCAGAGTGGCCACCACATAGTAGGTGTTCATGTATTTTTTGGAAAGAAGAGATCCTTTCTTCAAACAACTCATAGTTAGGGGAGGAGCCAGCATGTGGGAGGGGCACCTAATCCAGCCAGGAAACTTATCTGGAAATATTTTTTGGAAAGAAGAGATCCTTTCTTCAAACAACTCACAGTTAGGGGAGGAGCCAGCATGTGGGAGGGGCACCTAATCCAGCCAGGAAACTTATCTGGAAAGGCTTTCTGGGAGGTGAGGCTTCCTCAGCTGAGCCTTCAGTGGCTGAGAAGAACTTCAATGGGTTTCTGTGCCCAGTCTTCTCTGTTCTGGATTTTTGGTTCCCTCCCTTCAGACTCTCCAGGAAGCAGCCATGCTTGAGAAATTGAGGAGGAAATACAGGGAAGAAGTGACCAAAGAATAGGGAGTGAGAAAAGACCTTGGAAAAAGAGAGAATGAGATCGCTATCTTTAAAAACAGTTTAAAATTCATTTCAAGTTTAGTTAATTCCACCTGGTTTGATGGAGTTTCCCTAAGGAAAATCTGTTGTAATACACATATGGCCACAAGAGGTCTCACTTTCCCTGAAATGCACTGGTTTAAAGGGAGAGACAAAAAGAGAACGCTCAACATGGGGCAGGTAAGGCCAGTGCCAAATTTGGCAAAGAATTTTGCTTAAACCTTTACAGAGCAGGATTACAGCAATTTGCCCAGCATGGCATTTAATCACAGAGGGTTCTGAACTCAGGCAGCTCACACTCTTGTAGCTTCCAGTTTGAAATATTCTTCCCTCTGCCCCTAATAGCAGAGCTAGAAAAAAACTTGATTCTCCAACAACCTTGGCAAGAAGTGGCAAAAGCAGAACTCTCTGCAGGTAGCGTTGAGGTGTTCTTAGAAGTGGATTGTGCAGGCAGGCTGTCAACCTGGCCAGGCGGTCAGACTACCCAGGTCTGCACTGCTCTCCATTGCTGGTCACCTCGGCAGACAGCCAGTGACAGTGAGCTCAAGAAGTTGGTGTTTCTGCCTGTTAGGGAAATGGAGACCCAGAAGGTTGGGGGCTGTGAACAGTGAAGGAACCAAGTCGTAAGATCTGGTAATCATCTGGGAAGAAAGGAGAGAACATTTCCTACCCATTTCAGAATTTCTGCAGTGACTTTAAGTGGCCTAAGTAAGTCATCATGGGATTTGGAAATATGTAGATAAGTTTGAAGTCAGATAATAGTGTAATATTCTTTCTTTTTTTTTTTTTTTAAAGATGACCGGTAAGGGGATCTTAACCCTTGACTTGGTGTTGTCAGCACCACGCTCTCCCAAGTGAGCTAACGGCCAGCCCTTGGAGTTACCATTTTTGAGATGGAGAAGGCTATGACAGGAGAGCAGATTTTAAATCAGGGGGTCTATGGAGCCCCTCACCCAAACTTGCCCAGAAAAGTATGTGTGAACATGTGTTTTTTTTTTTTTTTTAAAGATGACCGGTAAGGGGATCTTAACCCTTGACTTGGTGTTGTCAGCACCACGCTCTCCCAAGTGAGCTAACAGGCCATCCCTATATAGGGATCTGAACCCGTGGCTTTGGTGTTATCATCAGCACACTCTCCCAAGTGAGCCACGGGCCGGCCCCTAGTGTAATGTTCTTTAGTGCCTTCTGAGCTTGGTTTTTGGCGATTTCTCTCCACCCCTCCTCCCCCTGCCATCGCACACACATGCACATGTGCACACGCAAAGCTTCCTATTCGTGGTTGCTCCTACATTTCCCAGAATTACTCTGTACTCCTGTTAACCCTAGGCTCAGTTGGGATTTACAGTCATTAGCCCCAGCTACAGCTTCTTGTCATGGAGATTTATTTGTTCTTTCTACTGGAGTCTGGTGGGAACCTGAGTTCCCTGGAAGCCACCCAGGCCCTTCGCTGTTGACCTTGCTCCAAGAGCTTTCATTTTTTTTCTTTTTCTTTTTATTGAGTCATAATTGATTATACATATTTTTGGGATTCAATGTTGACATTTGTTGATCAAATCAATATTATTAGTATGTGTATTGCTACAAATTGTACTTATTTTTATGCCCCTTGTCCAATCTCTCCCTATCCCTTTCTCCTTCCCTCCTCCCACCATTGATAACCCTAGATTTCTTCTCTCCCTCTGAAAGAGTAATGGTTACTCTGTTGATTTGTTGCTTAGATGATCTGTCCAATGCTGAGAGGTGTGTTCAGGTCCCCCAGTATTACCATAGAGCAGATGCTTCTTCTGTCACTCTGGAATGGGCTTTGTGCAGAGGGACATCCTATTCTTTTCTTTGGTCTCTGCTGGTGACTCTCCTTGTGTTGATGCACTCCAGTGGCTGGTGGACCCTCTGCGTGGTGGTTGAGACATCTAACCACTTTTGAGGCAGCCGTGGTTACTGTGGTGGCTATGGTGGGCCACCCACATGGATGTGATGTTTTGATCATGCTCCTTGGTGCTGGTGGTATGCCTGAGTGTGGGTGGGGGGCTCCGGTCCCCTACTCCATGTGCCAGGTCCTCAGGTGGGGCCCCGAGATGCTGGTGGGGTGCCTGGGTGTGGGTGGGGGCCCAAGAGCTTTCTGAAGTCTGGCCTCACAGGCTCTTAGGACACTAGAGCATAAGAGAGCTTGGAAAGGAAATTTTTAAAAAAGGAATTCATGATCCTTGAGTATTTCTGAGAGGACCTCATTCCAGCACAACCCACAACCCAGTTTCTCCTTCAGAGGTGGTGTTCACCCCTTGGAGGAGAGAGAACAGGAGCACTGGTGCTTTTTGCACTGGTTCCCAGGGCTTCTGGGGTGGAGGGAATTTCGGGTTGTGCATGAGTGCTGGACTCAGATTTGCTGTATCTTCCAGACTCTGTTTCCAGAAACTCACCTCTCTTTTTGAGTTCCTTCCTCTGCTTTCAAAAGCAGAGGTGAAACTGTCCCCGTTCCTTTCTCTTTAGGTCACCCGATTCCTTGATGGGGTTGGCAGTGGTGCTGTGGCCCCAGGTCCTGTTAGGGCATGTGAGTGGTGGCGGGGCTGAGATTTGCCAACCTCTGCGCTCTGGGGGATTTTAAGTGTACCAGGACTGGGTGTTCTGCTAGTCTTCTTCTCCCCTCCCTTCCCTGACTCCTCTGTGCCCTCCCTGCCTGAAGATCCAGAGGACTCTGAGGGTGGGCGGGAGCTCTTACCCATAGGAAGAAAAGACACCAAGTTGCAGGGGCTGCCTACACTTAGTTCTTAGCTTCCCTCCTCATCTCTCCAGCCACTGCCTGGGTCTGCAGCAGGAGGCCAATTGGAAGCACCCCTCCCTCCACTTTGAAGGAGGCTGGGCTGGCCAGGGGGTTATTTTGGGAGCAGCTTCTGAGATCCAATGGCCTTGTTAGGGCAACACTGACCTTTCTGTCCCAGGAGGAGGGCAGGATTGGGGAAGGAGGCGGGGCAGCGGCGGGGAGATCGACAGCCCAGCACACCCACTGGGGTGGAGGAGAAGGGGGCCATCAGGCTGCAGGAATCCTGCCTCGGGCTGGGGCTGCCACTGAGGGGAATTTCCCCTCTTTGAAACAGCTGGGGACCCCTCCACCCCACCCCTTTCACTGTGCTTCTTAAAGGGACACTGTTTTTCCTTGAACTCCACGGAAGCCAGACTTGGGACGCTTCGTGGGGACTTTGAATCTTTCCTTACTGCTTCCTTCCCAACAGGAAGCCTTTCTCTGGCTGATGGAGTGGGGGCCTCCCAGGCATGGCACTAACCAGCCACCCCAGTGCTGACTTGGCTCCAGGGCTCTTTCCGCCTCTTCTGGCACCTTGTTTCCCCCCTCCTGGGGTGCGGTGGTGAGTCTGGGGGCCTAGCCCTGAGGGTGCCTGGAGAGTGTCGCTGGTGCCACCCGACGCCCCCTGCACCCAAGCTGGAGGACGGGCAGGTTGTTGGGGGCTATGATGAGATGAGTGGGGGCCGCTTTGACTTTGATGATGGTGGGGCATACTGTGGGGGCTGGGAGGGAGGGAAGGCCCATGGTCACGGACTGTGTACAGGCCCCAAGGGCCAGGGTGAATACTCAGGCTCCTGGAACTTTGGCTTTGAAGTGGCGGGTGTCTACACCTGGCCCAGTGGAAACACCTTCGAGGGATACTGGAGCCAGGGCAAGCGGCACGGGCTGGGCATAGAGACCAAGGGGCGCTGGCTATACAAGGGCGAGTGGACACATGGCTTCAAGGGACGCTATGGAACCCGGCAGAGCACCAGCAGCGGTGCCAAGTATGAGGGCACTTGGAACAATGGCCTGCAGGACGGCTATGGCACTGAGACCTATGCAGATGGAGGTGAGTCCAGCCCAGGGCCTGCAGAACTGGGGTGGGACCAGGGAGGGTGAGGAACACTGGCGGAGGGTGGGAAGGGTGAGGGGCAGTTGGCACAGAATCAGATGGGCTGCGATGTGATCGGCTGTGTGGCTTTGGACAAGCTGCTATACCTCTCTGAGCATCCATTTTTTTTGTCAGTAGAGGTGGGGCCGATAAAGGGGTTATTGAGAGGATTGGCAGGAGTGCTTCATACAAGACCTACCATATAATACACACAATAAAATGTAACTACTACTGTTTGCATACTAGGTATATTAACAGCCACGGAATATACCCTATTCCTATTCCCTCTACCCTATTCCCTATTCATAAAGTATATTTGTGGAATATATCTTGTGCCCTAGCAGAATTGGCATCTAGGTGCAACTTTGCCATGAAAATTATTTTCAGGCAATAGATCATGAGAAGTGTTCATTCATTCATCATCCATCCACCCATCCACCCATCCACCCACCCATCCATCCATCTACTATCCATCATGCATTCCTTCATTCAGTGCATATTTCTGTGTTACCTCCTATTTACCAGGCATTGTACAAAGGATTAGATATAAAGAGGAATAAGATACAGTCCCTGGCTTCAAAGATAGGCATGGAGACAATCAATTATACACAGATGTACAGAGTGCTGTGGCAGAAAAGAACAGTTAGACTTGAGGAGTTCAGGGAATGCTTCAGAGGCGGTGACGCCTGAGCTGGATCTCGGTGGGAAAATTGCATTTGTGGAGGTGGGAGTGTGGGACCGTCCAGGCAGAGAGAGGAGTGTGTGCAGAGCTCTGAAGCATAGGAGTAATCGGTGGGTTAAGTAAACAGAGAGTAGTTTTCTGTGGCAAA